ACCCACACACACACACACGCACACACACCAGGGGACACCCTGGACAGGTCACCAGTCTATCACAGGGCTGCACTTAGAGACAGACAACCAAGCACACTCACATTCACACCTACGGACAATTTAGAATCACCAATTAACCTCAACATGTTTTTGGACTTTGGGAGGAAGCCGGAGAACCCGGAGAGAACCCACGCTGCACGGGGAGAATATGCAGAAAGATTCCGGTGTCCCCACCGGGACGCGAACCGGCAACCTTCTTGCTGCGAGGCAACAGTGCTACCCAACTGCGCCACCCTGCAGCCCTTACTGACTTAGATGTTAAAGGTAATACAACATTATATAAACTAATTTATTTGACTCATTTATGTCTATATAATGTATACAATGACACAAGAGAAAATCTGACCTTGAGTTAACCTTAAAATTTAGCCCAAGGTCAAATGTCACATCCCCAGTGAGAAGCCTATATATGACTTCCAATACAAACGATGTGTCTATCTTACACTGTTTTCAAATTACAGTACAGTCCAAATTTAGCACCTTTAGTTTGAGGACAAATGTAACATCACTAATGGAAAGCTCCATCGTGGTCACTTATCTGCACCAAATACCATAAGTCTACCTTCCACCCTTTTGAAGGTATATGTCATTTTTGAAAAAGTGACTTTTGACCTCTAGCGGAGCTATTTTTACCGATTGACCCCAAAAGCTAACCCTTCTGAGGAGAGGCCATTCCTAGCTCACCTGTAAAATATTAACTTGTTACACCTCAGCACTCGAACTAGATACTGTTCACAGACAGACACACGCAGACACACAATGAGACCGATTACAATAACATGTAATGCATACACGGATTGTAGCCATTTCACCTTGGACCACCAGCCAACCATGATTAGTGGGGGAAAAAAACACCTATTTTGTGGTAAATTGGATGGAACAATGGTTTACTGGGGCTCATCAGTGCAATCATGGCCGGCAGGTGCATCTATATCTCTCTCTACTGAGGACCCTCTAGTTATATAGATTTCCCTGACCAATTTAGATATTAAGTTTGAGACCCTACAATGTGGTATGATAATAAAAATGTACTTAACCAATTTAAATATTGTGGCTTAGGCCCTACGATATTACTTAGTATATACATTTACCAGACTAATTCAAATGTTATTACAGTTAAGACCCTACAATATTGTTCATTATATGTATTTACAAGAATAATTTGAATATTACGACAATTCAGACCCTACAGTATATATAATTTGCCTTCTTAGCTGACTAATTTAATTAGTACTGCAGTTAATTCAATACAAATTAGTAAAAATTGTAAGGTTAAGACCATACCATGTTATTTATTCAATAAATTTGATTGAAAAATTCAAATAATTTGATCAGGACCCTACAATATTATATATAACACTAATTCAAATAAGTAAAAATTATAGTTAGGACCCTACAGTATTTTATATATGACACATTTTCCTTACTTTTTGTATATTACAGTCATAAACTACAATGTTTTTGTTATCTAGAGTTATTTGACTACCTTAATTTTTTATTTAATTAATTTTTTTAATGTTAGTTAGGAACATTATAAAGCTCCTGAGGCTACAACCCTAAATGTTTAATGAATAGTCCCAGACCTACAACACAAGTAAGAATAATAAAAACATGAATCTGTCATTCCAACCACTTGCTAAAGCCCTGATATAGTTAATTAAAAACATTGAGGTATTATTTTACTGTTCAATAACGTCTAATCTACAATCAATATAACTATCTGTCATGTTAATTGTTTTATTACAGATATTGTTCCATATCACTGTGCCCTGATGACTACATGTAGAACATGACCTCTCAAAGGTAGCTGATAAAAGCAGTTAGGTCGGGCTGGCCGGTAGCTGAGTCACAACAGAAACACAAGTTATTGGTTTATTGCAAGTTGCTAGTTAGATAAGCTATCAATGAGCTATGGAAAGAACGTTTTCAGGTACAGATTTAGAACTTGTTGTACCCCCTTAAATCATTATTAATTCCAAGGCACACGGTCTTAGAACCACTGGTCTAGCTTGCCTGCGCTCAGCGTGATCTTGTTGTGCAACATGGGTGAAGCATGGAGAGAGAGTGGGATGACCTCACTTTGCCAAGAGCACAGTGTCTTACATTAAACTCATTCCACCCTCACAGAACCTGAGAATTATGAGGTTAAAATCTAAAGACTGCTGAACTGGCCTATAAGCCCCCAATGTGTCAAGAACCTAAAGACACCTCTGATTAAGAGGGTTGTTTGTAATAAAAACTAATCTGACTAACCTAAACATTAAGGTTAAGAACCTACAATGTGACAGTATATACCAAACTGCATGACTAATTTATGAATTAAGCTTAAAGCCTATAAAATTATACGCTGAAAAGCTACTGAATACAAAGATTCTTTTTGAGCAAGGAAAGAGGCATTTAGGGATGGGGGAAAATAAAAATAAAAATAAAGACATGCATGCCAGAAGTACTTTCTGTACTTTTGGAAATCTTGAAAGACTCTTTTATTAGTGTTTCTGTGGTGAATTAAACTGTTCAGTTCCCATAATAAATAAATATAAGTATTTACTGTTTTTTTCATTACTTAACTGATATTGTGTTTAAAATTAAGCCAGAGTTAGTGCTGTATATTTTCACATGGGTAATGTTTCTGTAGAACAACTAATCTACTTAGGCTTCAAAACGTTATATTTTGCTGTTATTACTTTTTGCAATTTAAGATTTTCAATGCAAAACATCAACAAACACTTTGCTGTACTTTCTTACTGAACACAATACAAAGCAAAGAGGCTACAGCAAAAGTAGTGTTACACATTTTTATTGTAATTTCCGCTTTAGCTTTATTGGTAACAAACACTATTTTTATTTCATTCCAGCCAGACAACACATAAAACACAGACAAACATGAACATAGGACACATGAAACATAAGAAAATGCATCATCTGTATTATTATAGAAACTCTCTAAAACTTTACAGTGACTGAAAACAGATAAATGACGATCACAACAACAACAAAAAAGAATTTGGCAACTTAGTACTGAATGTAGGGTAACATAATTACAGTATTTTTCATTAAAAAAATAAAAATAAAAATGAAGAAACTCAGGAAATACAGTTAAAACCACAAGTTTACATACACTGTATAAAAAGACACATAACCTTTTTTTTCCTCACTATCTGACATTAAATCAGACTAAACTTTTCCTGGTTTAGGTCAGTTAGGATTACCAACATTATTTCTATTTACTAAATGCTAAAATAATGAGAAAGAGAATTTTTTAGAAATTTCTTTTTATCCCTTTCCTCAAAGTCAGAAGTTTGCATACATTTCCTTAGTATTTGATAGCGTTGCCTTTAAGCTGTATGACTGGGATCAAATGTTTTGGGTTTCCTTCCACAAGTTTCTCACAATAGTTTGCCAGAACTCTGGCCCATTCCTCCTGACAGAACTGATGTAACTGAACAGGGATTGAGATCAGCGCTTTGTGATGGAATACTGACTTTGTCATCCTGAAACCACATTCTAACTAATTCGGCAGTATGCTCAGGGTCATTGTCCATCTGGAAGACCCATTTGTGCCCCAAAGCTTTAACTTCCTGGTTGAGGTCTTGAGATGTTCCTGCTCTCATTATTCTGGCATTTAGCAAATAGAAATAATTTTGGTGATCCTAACTGACCTAAAAAAGGAAAAGTTTAGTCAGATTTAAGGTCAGACAGTGAGGGGAAAAAAAAGGCTTCATGTCTTTTTATACAGTGTATGCAAACTTCTGGTTTCAACTATATTAGAACAAGAGTTTACAAAACTTACAAAACTACATAAGCTCACATAAAACATTACACGCTGTTTAAAATCTGTGCACGTACAACCATCATCATCTAGTCAGAGTTGCAGCTTCACTAACAACTCATCATCACCTCACTCATTACAGGCATTTCACTGTTCAACCCCTTGAAGGTTTATTTCAACCTGCTACATTTCCATTTGTTCCATGATTAGGAATGCAGTTAGCAAAATGGTCGT